ATGGGTCATAACTCCCTCTGGTTTCACCCAAAAAATATTGATATCTATGATATCGATTCACGCAATTTCTGTGAGGTCGCGAAGTAAACGTTCCATTGTGTGCTATGCGAATGAGCGGCCATTTGAAGGATCGGGTACAAGATGCTTGGTGCGTGGCGTTTGCGAGCCTAGGAAGGGGGCGGAAGGTGGCGGAAGGCGGCGGATAAGGATCGTAACCCTGGAAGGCTACGGGCACAAGCGAGTATAATAGATCTTTTTAGATCCCAGCACGGACTATTCACCACTTTACGTTACGTTATATTCTCTCAGTAAGCTTGGGATTCTGAGGCGCTTTGTCTAGTCAACACGTCAAAATGCCGAGCTACGTTAGAGTTCTCGAAGTCGGTAAAATTGAGAAAATGGTTGTTCAATTTTTGGATGTATATATTTCTACATCAATGTAACGAGTCCAATTTTGAAATGTTATTGATCTATCCAATCTCTACTCCAGCTCCAAATTAGAAAGCATGGAATGTGCCGGCATATTCTCCGCAAAAACCTACGGTACATAGCGGATATTGGAATTGTAAAAAAGTTTCGGATAAAAATGATTCCAATATATCTGTCTGTACATCTGTCCTAGGAGCGAACAAAAAATGTCTGTTTGTCTTGTAGTTAAGTTTTATTATCTACCCATCACGTTAAACCAATATTTAGGATTTGTAATATATTTACGGTGACGTCTTGGATGACAGTCCTGGATAATATTTTCATCAAGCTTTAGAGTAATATTTAGCATCGGTTGTACCTAACACTGTGTCTGTTAGACTGTCCGTACTGAACATAGTAGCGATGGTACCGATAGTAGCGGACAATCTCAATAAGTATCAGTTCTTTATTATAGCGGTAAATAAGTTAATAATTCATTCATGCATCATAATGTTTGATTGTTTATTGTTTAGTTCACTTCGTATATTGGTAAGCATTCCCACAACAAACGACAAAGAGATGGGTGGACAAATAAGTGAAAGATCAGCAAAGCCGACATGGGTTTTTATTTATTTATGGTTTATTGAGAGTGTATATCGATGAATGCTTTCGAATAGTGGTAGCATAAACATTGCTGAAAATGGCCGATAATCAGGATTGACATTAAAGATTTCTTACTTGTTTCGTTTTCTCGGACAATTCTCTAAAATCTTTCAAACCAGCACAGAAACTTTCTTGCGCTTGCTAGTCGAAATCTGGACATCTGCCGGCGAAGGGAAATAAATGACTTTCTCGTATACTACGTGATATATGGAATCGATAATTATTGTGAAACGAAACCATTTTCACGTAAAACGCTTATGTGACGTGCGAAATTTTTGATCAAAGGCCGGGCAGAATCCATAGGTGATCCATAGGTTGAACATATAATAAAAAAATTTTTTCTCTTTTTTCCAATGTTAAACATTTAATTGTTGGAAGCATATTATAGCTTGTGTTCCGCTACTAGCTGACAAAATGAATTAACTCTACCCATGTAAAGAACTAAACGTTCTTGTTCTTGAAATTCTTGTATTTTAAAGTAGGCGTTCCAAAATTAACCCAACGTCTTACACCCCAGCAATTCGCACTGCCCGCTCAATAGTCTCTGATGCGGTATTGTGGACATGACGATTACAACGAGAAAACTAACATATTTATCTATTTTATAGTAATTGATATACGAATGCAAAGAGCAAAAATTGGAATAAATAATGATTAAAATTATTCCATGTGCACACATGCTTGGGGAAATAATTTTAATTTAAATTTAAAACAAATTAGAAAGCTGTCTTTCATTTAGAGAGAATTTTGAATGCCATTCATTCGAAGTTATTAAGTCTTGACGTCTGAGTCATTTAAAAAAAGACACACATACACACACACACACACACACACACACACACACACACACACACACACATACACACACACACATACACATACATAATCAAGCCATAGGCTATAGCCTAAATTTGCAGCAAACACTTCAGATATTAAAAAATTTTATGTTGTTCATCTACACAGTACATATCTAGAATAATTAGTAGTTGATAAGTAATTAGTGGTATATAGTTGTACGGCAGATTTTGATATATATATATATATGCCGCATCTAATATACCGAGAAAGCCTGTATTCTACGACAGGTGAAAACACGCAGATGAGATCGATCGATAATTAATTTAGTTAACCTATGGTTTGTTCATGAAACGACCACAATGGACCACAAAGGATGGACAAAAGGAATTGCTTATCAAACGCATCCAAACCAGTTAAATACAAACGGAAAGGCCGCCTCTCGTCATACTACTACTTCTCTCAATTTATTCTACGGGCAAAAGACAAAAAGTAGGTGAAAAAGTGAAAAATTGAGTTCGTAAGGGATTTGCCGTAAAGCAGAAAATGTTCAATTGTGTTGGTAACCGAAAATAACCTGAAAGATGACATGCAATGAATAGTTAACGGTAGCTATTCAAAAAATGAACAACTTTGGAAATCATTACACCTAGGATACAACGTAAAGTTGTACGATCACTTGACATATTTCCTGCAAAATTTGATTAACTCAAGACCCTCCCCTAAAATCGTATATTTTCATATAAAACACCATAGACCTTAATTATTTTTATCAAGTGTTTTAAAAACGAAGAAAAAATGAATCAAAGTTCAAGCCATAGTCGCATGCGGCAGTTTAGTAAACTGCATTTAAAAATTCGACCTTAAGGCTTACAGTAAGTTATTTGATTGCTTAAATCAGCTTACTTAGTTTTGTTTCTATTTTCGGAAGTAGCTTTGAACATCGAAGAAAATATTTCCACGGAATATGTACATGGCAAAGCAGCGATGTCAACGCAGAACAGTTTATAAAGATAACCAGATTCGATTTCACAATTCTTACCCTAGTTGCCATTTGCCTACAAACATGTCTTTGTATCATAATTTCCTGAAATACTTTACATAATAACTTAAGATAATCAAACCATTATCTACTTAATGAAACATAGAAAGTTAACGCAATCAAATTTTTACATATACGTAAGAAATATTAATAACTAATAGATTTTAACTAAACCTTTTCGAATTGAACCAATTTTGTAAGGATTTTTTTAATAAATTTGATAAAAGTGAAAAGAAATGTTTAATTTTATAATTTAAAATTAAAATCTTGCTTTATATTCTCGATTAAAAAGTAAATTTCGAATCATTGCCCCGATAAGCGAGTAGACAGACAGACGGAAAATGTTGAATCGATTTCGCAATTAATGCTATATAAGAATATTTATAGAATTTTTTTTTTTTTTTTAATATTCATTAAACTCGTTTACCGTACGGCCTTTGCAATATAATTGCGGTGTTTTGATCGCACTCTATATGTATAAAATTTACGCGGAATTAACATTTCTAAATTGACTTCCCTTCCACAAAACGTAGATTGTTTTTTAACACTAGAATAGCCGAGGGTTGATAATCGAGACTAAAAGGGATCATCAAATGAGTCCCCCTTCCTTGTCGGATTTCCATTGTCGCAGAAATGAAGATAGAAAGCTAAAACTTGGCGCAAGCATGTCTTGATCGATCAAAGATCTAAGTTTAAGAAGTGGTTTTGATGTGTCCGCATATACGGCCACCATAAGTTCGAAATATAGACAACCGTGTTTTCTTCTGTAACTTGAAAGGCCGTGAAGAGAATTCGGAAATTCCACTACACAAATGTTTGTCAAAATCACTTACCGAAAATGTTCGGTTTACTAATACAATTCACAATTAACCTTAAAATTTTCGTTTCAATTTATTTCCGATTGATATATAATTGCGTAAAGAATGTACTAATAAGCGTTCGAATGAATTCGAGCTAAATTGGAATTAAAATTTTATCGTTAATTATGGGCGTGTTAGCCAACCGATCGCAAGCAATTAAAAGCATTTAAAAGGAACATACGCGAGAGTGCTAAAGCTAAAGAAAACTCTACCCCTCTTAATAAGGGGCAAAGAATTAAGTTCGCTAGGTAAGCTATTATACTAACATTTATTTGTTTTTTTTGTAAATCAATATTGCTTTCTGAGTAAGGAAAAGTTCTTCCAACTTCTTCTAAAAGCCGATAGCCTTATAGATTTAGCGCCTATCAGTTTTTAGTTTTTGAATTTATGTCTCTGGCTGCAGTTATTTTTTTTTCTAGTCTAGTTTTTTTTTCTGTGACATGTTCCATATCTTTAATAACTCTCTCTTAGCTCGCTCTTCATGTTTTATAACAATACACACTTGTTTTTTGTTTACTCTCTTGGCATGATTGTTTTCATGTATTAAGCAGAAACCAGACATCACTTGCAAATTTTGGATAAGTTATAGGGAGCTTCTTGTATCAATTCTATCTCCGTGAAGAACAACGAAACTGTTAATAGAACGGTTTTTATGAGTCTGCTTTGATCTTAACAACGAATGCGGCTGATTTGTAATTTGCAAGGACGTCTCTTTTAAGAAGTAAAAAGGCGAAGGAAGGAGATGGAGTTAGTAGATAGGAAAAAACTTAAGGCTTTCACAAGGAATAGGAAAGCTGCATCCGGCTTAAGCTCAGCTAATTTTTGGCTATCCATTTTATATACGCGCTGCTATCACTCGGTCAATGAAACAATACTTTGATAGGCCTGCGAAATTTCCTAATCACTTGAAGGTATTAAGTTTTTAGATCTGCTTGAGTGGCCGAGTAGGCAAGAGTCTCGACCAGCAACTCAGTGGTCGTGCATTCAAATCTCCAGTGCGGTAGAGTTTTTAATAAAGTCGAAAGCCTTTAGATATGTTAGTGCTTTAAGACTTTAGCCTTATAATTCATTCTCTCGCTAAACTATTAATAATAATAATAATAATAATAATAATAATAATAGATTTTTAAAACTTAACTTTTTCTACTTCGCTTTATTTTAATGTTAATATGCTCATATATATGCAAATAATCTATTTTTTTTTTTGTTTTTTTTCATTTTCTTTCTTATAGAATTACAAAGAGAAAGACTCAGGTAAAGTGGTACTCTATACCACTAGCATGGGTATCATACGTGACACTTATGCGAAATGTTCAAATGTCAAGCAAATATTGCGAACACTGCTGGTGAAATTTGAAGAGCGCGATGTATTCATGAGTTTGGAATATCAACAAGAAATTAAAGAACGCATGCACTCCGATATTATAAAAGTACCTCAACTGTTTGTAGAAGGCCAGCATATAGGGGTAAGTAGTTGTTTGTAATAAAAAAAAAAGAAGAAAAACAAAGAAAGAAAAGCAACCAATGTTTTCAATTTCTTAACAGCGTCTATAATATAAAAGGAAATGTGTATGTGTGCTGAGAAAACTTGATCTGTACGATAAATGCGATGTTAAATAAAAGAAAAAAAAAAAAAAAAAAAAAAAAAAATAGAGAAAAAAACCAGAAAAAATTTCTTAATTAATTAAAATATTTGGAAACTAATCATTTAAATAATTTATCAGTTTTTTTGCACGCATAAGCTTCTTAAGAAATTGCAATCAGTTCCCATAACCTGTCATACTTTATTATAATGTTTTTTAACCAGCTTTTTTGAACAGGAACTGCATAAGTGTAGTGTAAGATTATTAGCAAAATAGTTAAGGCTATTATTATTAAGAAAGCATTTAAAAGACGAATTAACTTATTACATGTCTCCTAATGGTAAAAAGTCGATTTACACCTATTTATGTACCCATCACCGAAGGTTGAGCGGTATATTGGTTTTGTCAAAACGTTTGCAACGCCCATAACGAGACTTCAGAGATCCCACAAAGTACATCCGGCATATTTTCTTGATCATCATCAAATTTTGAATCGATTTAAGCCTGTCCGTCTGGCTGTCTATCCGTCCGCTGTAAACATTTTCAAGGCCGTAAAAATAAAGCTATCGGCTTCAATTTCAGCTGACACATTGAATGGATTTGTGCCCAGGTTGGTATTGAAAATATTCCAAATATGAATAGAACGACAGCTGCCACCTACAGTATCATGTAAACTGAGAATAATCCTGCTGTTCAAGAGGAATAGAAAATTAGATTTATATACTTTGTGGGGTTTTTAAACCTTACTTCTCCGCGTTATAAAGATATTGAAAAACAAATTACATTTTGATACACTGAAATATTGGGTAGGCGTGGTAGATTTTTTTTACATTCTTTTACTATAAACTGGCAGTTGATATGCCAAGTTTCGGCCTTCTACATCAATTGAGCTTTCCAACATATAACCATACGTACACCGACGGATAAATGGACCGATAGTGGCACATTACGGGATCAAGTCAGAATTTTAAAATTACATGCACGTATGCAGTTGTTGTTGCTGATCTCTAATGCATGTTTCTGGGCGCTGGAAGGGGAAGATACCACCAGTAGTTAGCAGTAGGTACGAAAATACCGTTGATCGTTGGGCGCCAATTTTTGAATCAAAAGTACCAAATCGACTATATATTCCTTTTTTGAGAATGGACACAAACACATGCCTTGGAGTTAAGTGACACGCAACCTTCCGTCTGCGAATGAGCACATAATGAAACTAATTCTATATCCGGCAAAGTTACATACTAGCACAATGCAAATGCAAGCTGCCTATGGAATTCGAAATTTGACTTAGCTTAAGAGGAAGCGAGGAGAGAATCCATGGGCTTTTATGGCCATATGATTCAGTTATTTGAAAAATGATGCAATGTTACAACAATCGTTCTGAGATGGCGATTCCTTCAGAATACGAGAATTGAAATTCGAAATAATCATAGTAAGAAAGCACAAATTTGGTTTTTTTTTTCTCTACGATGACCGATCACAACGAAACAGAATAATGTAAAATTTCAAATAGATGCGATATTCCTGAGCACCTGGCAATGTTTGTGTATTATTGTTAATCAAATATTATGGCTTTCTGACACTGTTTATAAATATGATTGCAAGGAAACGAGGCGCTTATATAATTTGCTTGGTATATTTGGTGTATGTACGGATATTGAAGAAAACGTTCTTCTTTATCATAAAGGAAATTTTAATCAAAAATTAATTCAAAAGCCTACGGATCGTTGAACGCAGAAACAGTGTTTCAATAAAATAAATATATTTATATATATATATGTATACATGTGTACATGATATGAATAAGAAAATATTTTTTATTCATAGGTACAAACACAGGATTACCCGACTTGATCAATAAATCTTCATCCATAAGAGCATATAACTCATACATATTTATTAGCATAACATATGTATACATATAAATTTTTATATAAATATGTAAACACAATAAAAATAAACTATGTAATAAGAAAAATTACCCACATACATAATCGTTATGAACGCGTGGGCAAACTAAAACATAATATTCATAAAATTATCATATAAACGAAAACAAAAAAAAAAAAAAAAAATTAAAATCAATTCACGTTTGCACTTCACTTACTACACCTCTTCGAAACTTTCAACATAGAAATTAAACAAAAAAAAAAAAAAAAAATAACCAACGAGTCTGCGAAGATTACATTATCATCTGAAAATATTTGCTCATGCGCAACATGTGATTATTTAAAATATCGTTAAAATATCGCACAGACACCCGACTACTATCACTGAATGCGAAAAGTTAATTTTTGAGTTCAGCGAGAAAAAAAACTTGGAAAAAATTTTCACTTTCCAAAACTAGTCTTTCAATAACACCAACATCATGTAAAGAAAAAACGAAAAATTCATCTTCAACAGCTTCGTTTAAATGCAAGCTAAGTCAAAAAATAATGGTAGAAGCGGGCAAACAAGGGAACGATAATATTTCATCAATGTAACAAGACCTCACCGTCACTATGGCCGGACAGCATATTAAATTATTCCTTGGGTTTGCAATATTTCATAATAGAAAGTAAATGTTTTCAAAATTAATACGCAAACCGAAATCAATTTTCATTTAAATATCTGTCCACGCATTCATCCGTTTATTATTGTATTTCTACAATAGCTTTGACAATAATTGAACTGATTGAACATTTTGAATTTTTGTGAAAATCTAAGGTCACATAGCATTAAGTTCTTAGCATAAAGATAATTAGGCATTTAACCCGCTACTCGTACTCACATGTAAAGCTGCATATATATTATAAGAAGATAAGAAAATTTTCATTTAAAATTCGTTCAGAAGAATAGTTCACTTTTTCTACATATGCATGCTGTCAGAAAAATATCAAACCAAAGGAAAGTTTGTCGTGAGATTCAAAGAAAGAACCACATATACATGTAACCACTTATATGTTCCTAGATTCTCAAGATATCGCTTAAGGGATTAAAGGATATTAAAAAAGAAAAGATGCGAAAATTGCTGAATAGTTCATGAAATATGAACGCATCAGTATGCAAATCTAGATGATTTTCCTTTTTAACAAACAACAAAGCGATAATTCCAACAAAATAGAAGATAAGTAAGGTTGCATTAGGAATCCTACTAACAAATGTAAATGGTTTAACTTTCTTTGGCCTTCTCCAGCCAGCTGTTAATGGACAATGCTTCAAAAACCTCCTAAACGCCATTTTCCAGTGACGGTCGTCCTTGCTCACTATGACATGAATTTGGACGCCTTCGTATAAAACACTGTTAACTTGAACTTCTTCCCACTATTTAGTTTGTTTTCAAATTTAATAGCATTTTATGGCATTTAAATCTAAACATATCTGAACTTTTGTTTGTTTATTCACCAAACAATCCAAAACAAATTATGCGGATAAGTTTGTTCACCCGTCTTGATAGAGTTTGAAACCTCGTGGAATTAAGTTAACACGTTTAGGAGGAGGAATTTGAATTCGGAGATGTGCGTCTTTAAAAATTTCGCATAAGACTCAAGTTTTCCATGAAATGTTCATTTATTTTCTTACTGGGAGCACAAGTTACTGGCTTCAGTCCATCTCAAGTTGCTATACTTGAATGTCAATTCTTCAGATTCTTATTTGCTAATCTAATCTCTTGAAATACTGACAAGTGATTGCAACAATAAATATCATATCGACATATGCGTAAAAAAAAAAAAAAAAAAAAACCATAAAAGATTGGGGAAGCCCCTTGAGGGCATTTTAGAACAAGTGGCCTAAAAAAGAAAAAAAAAACACCGAAATACTGCACTTACGATGAATGGATATAGCGTTAGTCGTTTGCAAATGTCAACGATATGACCATATGAACATTCTACATTTATAAGACTACTTGCCGGTCTATTTCCATTGATTTTTCTTTAACTTTAACAATTTCAAAAATATGGACAAACGACTTCCATAAGTAATGATCCCCTAAAATATCTAAATAAATATATATATTTTATAATTGTATGCGTTACAAATGCAATAGCAAACTTAATAGCATAACGGCAATGTGATAATTCGCATATAAAAAAATAATAATTGGTTGATAACGTTGTCTCAGCTTAACCTGAGTGCCTTTCAGCTCATTAATCATTGTCAATTAAGTCAAGTAAGATGTTTTTATCTTTCTCATCGCACTTCGTTTTAATTGTAGGACGCCGAAACCGTGGAGCGTTTAAATGAATCCGGTGAACTGAGACAATTGCTCAAGCCGTACAAGGTAAGGGAAAGAAACCCCCTATATACAAAATATTCTTGAGAGGCAAGCATACGCATACACATACACACACATATACACGACACACTTTAACATAACGCCACACGAAGCCGGCATCCGAATAAACGCCTAATCACAGACGACGAGGACAGAGAAGATAGGATGATGCAGTAACCATCAAGAATCACTAAAGGTCGATTTCGAGGTGACGCGAAGCGAAAGCTGTTCCTGGATGACTTTGACCCCGATGTAGACACACTGGTTGCCAGTGCTCTGCCACTATGTTCATAATAAAAAAACATACATACATACATGCATACAAATCCCCATAAATACGGTACATACATATATACATATATATGCGTATATCAACTCATATCAGCTTGTATCGAGTCTAAAGATATAATCAAAAAACAAAAAAAAACAATTTAATATATTTTTCTCCTCTTCTTTCTTTTTTTCTTTGCTTTTTTCGAATGTATTTTTTTTTTTTTTTTTTGTTTATGCTTTAAACGAACGCAGTCGATTGCTACGGCCTACACCTGTCAAACATGTGGTGGTTATCGTCTGCTGCCCTGTCCCTCATGCAATGGTTCTAAGAAATCAGTGCACCGAAATCATTTCACCGCCGAATTCGTGGCTCTGAAATGTATGAATTGCGATGAAGTCGGTTTGGTCAAATGTCACAACTGCTAGATGACCATAATAAATGGAAGAAGAAGAACAGCAGATCAAATCTAAAGTAAAAGTAACATATATATATATATATATATGTATATATATATTTATATATATGTACATATAATATACACCACATATACATTGATATGTAATATATAAAATAAATAAAAAATATAAAATTAAATAAAACGAAAAAAAAAAACAAAAACAAACAAAAATGAAAAGCTTGCTACAACACGTAATAACGTAATATTAAAAATTGTGTGTATGTATTTGTCTAAAATTTTTAATTTTCTCCTTCGTATTTGTACGTTTGTTTGTTTGTATGTATGTTTTTTTTTTGATAAGCTTATAATTATTGCTACTAAAGTGCAATTTTCTATTAAGTTAAAAAAGTTTTTGCTTAGACATAAAGAATTTTAAAATATTTATTATTTTTAAACCACGAAAAAAATCGGAACTCCCTACTTCCGATCAGTAAAATAATTGGTTCATAATAAAGCGTGCAATTCTTGAAATAATGAAATATGGAAAACAATTGGAACAATATTTAAACTCTTCTTGGACGAGTACTTTTGTTGATTGAATGTGAGTGTGTCAATGGACCAAACAAGACCGTTTTTCTATTAACATTGATATGAGATAGTTTCAACCTTGAAATCTCTTATAGTTGCTCACAATCATTGAGAGCAATAGTTTATATAATTCTTTTAAACATAATTATAGGCCGATCACGCCCATTTTCAAACTTAATTTTTGTATTAAAATGTAGAATTTTTTAATCAAGTTTCTATCAAGTTTTCATTCTCATTAAATTAAATTTTGAGAGTTCTAGTAGTAAGCGAAAGACAGATGAGACTGTCAAAGCTCATGTTTGTTGAGAATTCGTTTACTTTGGGTTGCTATAAACGGAATAACAAAACCGATATTCCATTTGTTCCAATCTTGATTAGAGAAATAAACTTTTACGAGATGAGATTTTTTTATTAAGGATTGAAATCTGCACCGAAAATATCTTCAAAATAATTCTTGTTCTCTTCTTTACATGTTGGACTGTCGCCCATACATTACGTGGTCCTTCTTATGGAAAAGGAATTTTCAAGACAAATTTGTGCCAAACAATACAACGCCAGATTGTCTTCGTTTCCCTTGGTGGTCATTCCCGCCCAATAGTCAACATTTAGACTCAGGTCTTTCGCCAGAACAAATGCGAAAACTTATGCATAGAGTTTACATCTTATAAGAAGGGCCAGCGGATTCATTATAAAGTCAACTCATTATTAATACTTTCTCTACACATTTTTTTTTCATTACCTGGACAACGATGGCTCCTTGTTATCGACAAGTTAGGAACAGCGTATACGTATCTAACTCAAAAATTCATCACTATATTATCAAGGGCTTCTGAAGAGGAAGAAGCGAGAATTTTAACTTTCGTAAACACATAAAATTATTGGATATGATCGGACATGAATTTTGTTTACAAATTTCTGAGAATACGAAAAGGCGTTGGCGTAATTAAATTGTACTCAGATGATATCGAGTAAATTCAAATAAATATTGCACGATGCAATCGTCAAAGAGGCGAACGAAATGGAAATCGGACTACTCATAATCAGGCCTAATTAGTCTTTTTGGCCTTAAGGAGTTGTTTTGAAACAAATCTTGACAAGTTGTACTTCGCGCTAAATAATAATTAAATATATTGATACCTTACGTCACTTGTGGTACGAGGGCATATTAACTTTGTGAGAAATAACAGCCAGAGGAACTGGAGATAGGATATTATACTAAGCGATTAAGAATCACTTTTAACATATCTGTATGTCTGCTCATCTATCGACCTAATATTTTGTGTTCAACGTACGGGTCGCAACTTTGGTGCACAAAAAAAGCCCAAGTCCAAGGCCGAAAGCTATTGAAAATGGTTTGTTTCGGATCACTTTGTCGATCACTGCCCATATTAAGTCTTATTTTGAGAAGTCGTTATATGAAGTTTGTGCGGACATATACAACACCCAACGGAACTAAAGATAGGTTCAACTTTTATTCCGCCGATCCGAATTTGTTAGTTTGTCTGTCCATCTAATATTTTATATTTAACGTACAGATTGCGATTTTTGAGATGTTTTGATGCTATGTGATACAGGAACAAGGCCCAAAGCCAACGGCGAAAGTTCTTGAAAATGGTTTGGATCGGATCATTTTTTCGATCGCTTCTTATTAAAGCCTCAAATCCTCAAAAACGCGTTATTTGGGAAAAAATTGCAATTTTCGAAATTTTTCGAGAAAAGCGACTAAGTAATTGAGGTTGGATCTGCTGATTCAAATCAAAATCATTTACGGGAAACTTTAAATTGTGCTTGCAATTTTCATAAATTCGACAATTCCAAACTGAAAATGATTGATGAAACCATGTACGGAGGACTACAACACATGAAAATAAAAGATAATAATATTCAATTAATTTAAATGCATAAAATTAATTATGTCACAAGAAAAAAAAATCTATTCCATAGAAATGAAAATGGATATAAAATCAAAATCAATTCTTTTTTTTTTTTGACAACACGTACTATATATCGGAGGTTGTATGGGAAGAACGAACTGAACTTATATATATATAGGGAAGAGTGTCTATGAGGTCAAAATTGGTCTTTTGACGTTTTGTTTTTCTTTTAATTTTCACTTCAAAAATCCAGTAAGTAAAATGGAAATCGAGCAGAACGCGTACCTTGTAAGGCGGGGGATAGGACATAAGAGGCAGATTAGGCTCTATATACGTACATATATATATATATATAGAGATGTAGGGATAACGTATACACATTACTTAATAAGTTCGAAGGATAGTATGCAAATGTTGCCACACATCACTCAATAATATCGTAGGATGACTTAGATGTTCTCACTATTCGCAAATCGTTATTCGGTTTAGATATCATTAATTAACAAGCTGCAGTTGTTTATGCATGTACAGCATTCCGGAAGATATTCTGATTGTTCCAACGCTTTACGAAAGCAAAAGTAATGTCAATGAAATCACTGCAATGTGGAAATGAGTTGTCAGAATGTCAGGCAATTTTGATCGCGTTTACCTGATGCTTGGTAAAATCATATGGATTTTGCAATACTCAATTTATATCTGTACGTCATCCTACGAATTTATTGAGTGAGATATGTGCACGTGTGATGTATACATATATAAAAGTAAGGTAAAAGTGCAAACCGGTTTGATTGTTGTTATGCGTTTTAAACTATTAAGTTGAGGGTACATATCAGCCACGTAGATCTACAACGAGAGAGTAGTTGTGATAAGGTAATCACTATAATTTAACCATGAAAAAAAAAAGCTAATATTACGCAACCTATTATACGAGCAGCTTAGCAAATGCAGTCTAATTAAATATTTTCCGATTAATTAATTAATTAATTAATCTCCATCTAGTAGCACTGTTTACAAATTTATTTTATCTAAATTTAAATTTAGTTTATTTCACGTCTGTATATTGTTATTATCATCATTATTATTATTATAATTATTATTATTATTTTTATTTGTATGTATTTATGTTAAGAGCCATAATATACTTACTCTTGTTTTATCGATTATGTAATAAATATTTACTTTTAAATAACGTTAAATATAATAATAAAATAACAAATAACTAATGTACACATTGTTTGTTTCATTTGCAATGCTTTCAGCATTAAAGCTGCAAGTTAAAGTCAACCGATATCTTGAATTATTGAAATATTGTAAACTTACATGCACGTGTACATAATATCGATTGAATTGTCGAAAAAGTCATCGCACAATCTATTAATGTACGGATGTAATACACAAATAAATTATCCGAGCCTTTTGTGTCTTTGTTTTCCTTTAAGATTAACACTACACAGCCGGAGCAAGTCAAATTGATTCATATACGATATTATTGCTATATATTTGGAAAAACTAATACAATTATTATATGTATGCAAATACGAATTTCTTTCTCCTCCCCTCCCTTACTATCAAAAATCCATATATCCGATCCATAAAATCACAATATAGCAGAAAAATTTGACGAGAATAGTCAGACTCTCATCTAAGGCCCGATGCCCATTTGCTTAATACATGTTGTTTAAACAAGATGAACATGGTGTCAAATTTGGCATCAAAACGGTTGAATTGTGAAGTTCAAGTGTCATGCAAAACGAATAGAAGTAAAGCAGTCCGCGCTAAATGAAATCAAAAAATCCGCCGAAAAGATATAATATTTTAGAAAGGGAATACACAACATGGGTTCAAGAAAACCTTGCACGCAAGTTTGTATCGAGAAAAGACAAAGCTGTCGAAGCCGCCGCTACAACTCTACGTAAAGTGAGAACACATCTGTTTTTCGAAAAGAAGTAAAAATTGGGTTTTTACTTACTACTCATAAACTACAGCAGATAATTGTACAAAGTTTTCGATGTATATTCTATGGGCGATATTGTACTAACAAACTACAAAAATGCAGAGAAATCGGCCACGCCCACACAATTTTGTAGTGTATCAAAATTTAATTTGTTTTCCAAAACCCTTACAACGTACGGAAGCAAGCTTCCAAAACCTTATAAGTTATATAAATTCTTGGCTAGTTTCAAATTTGGAATGCATCTAAGCATGTCCGTCCATCTGTCAATCTGTCCAAGTAAGTAATGTCTATGTCAAACATTCTCCCGTTCGCAAAAATGGAGACATCGCCTACAAATTTGCTGAAGAATATGAAAATAACGCAAACCGGTCAAAGGATACATCTTTTGCTTGTTACTCATAAAGTACAACGCACACACTATATATAAATTTGCACATTTATTCTAAAAATGGAAAAACTCAGGCGCACGCATCCGATATTATAGAGTACGAGAACCTAGTTCTTTTCCTTTTTTTTTTCAGGATGACGTTGATGGGACACCTCGGAATGTAATCTTCTTACTTCTTTTTCTCTTATCTGATGTTCGAATCAAATTGACTCTTTTCAGGTAAACCATCAGGCCAAAATCCAGCAATGTAGGGATAAGAGGCTGAGTCTTGAAATTGAATGAAACTATACACTGGAAAT